TATTTTCATAACCAAAACTGCTGGGCTACTATTACTATTGGTTCAAAAGTCTTGAGCCAGGAATTGGGTTGGCAATGAGTCGGGTGCTTTAACTCCAAAGCTTGACTAAATCTGTCGGGTCACAGGTCGGGTAGCTTTGACCAACTGCTGGGTGAAAATAAACCCAACTGGTGAGTTGAAGACAATTGTCAGAAAATGCTGCATCAGTCTCACAAATGGCCATTTCTAAAAGACATTGGGTTGATTGCATAACCCAGTTTTCTGTATTAACCCTCCCACTGTCTTTATGAGTGACCCCGTGAGGAAAGTTGACCATTGAGCAGGATTGATGGTTTATCCCTTGAGGTCCATGTGGCAGGGGTGAGGTGGTGCTCACTCCTCACCCCTGCCACATGGACCCAAGGGATAAACCATCAACCCCGCTCTATAGTCAACTGTCCTCGTGGGGTCACACCCATTAGGGTTAAAACAACCCAGTGTTGGGTACGACTCAGTGGCTGCGTTGAATTGGGTTGTTTATAACCCAACGTTTTTTAGAGAGTAAAACAACTAAATACTTTTATCATTAGTTTAAAAGCTCCATATGATTTTCTTTTCACGATTTAAAGTAATTTTCCTCCATTAGTTCTGGAAAATACATTTAAACTAGGTATTTTAAAGCTAACAAGTGGAAATCTAACTTGTTTTATTTAGTAAAGCGGATTGAACATTTTTATACACGAGCTTTCTGAAGTATAAATAATTAGTGATTGAAACCTTTATTATCTGTACTCATGATAAAGTGATAATGTAGTTTTTTTTTTTGTTTTTTTAACCAGAAAATTACAATAGCTTTTGTAGAAAACTATTTTATCTTTACAATAGTTATAGTAAACATTGTACCACTTAATTACTTTGAATGCATAATTCTAATCTTTTAGGGCTCTGTGGAAAGGCATTTAAATAATAAAAACCATTACTTTGTCTCCATCTGTTTAATTCAGACTGGATTGACAAGCTAAAGGCTAGACAGTGAGGGAACCCCAATCTCAAAAAACAAAAACATAAATTAAAATGTCAAAAATAAAACGGAGCACAGTTTTCTTTTCCTCTTTACTTCTGAACAGGTTTTAAAGGTGCGTTCCATACAGTGTTCATCCAGAGTCCTGCTAGTGAAGGCTCGAGCATATTTATGTAACAGAGAGAAGTGTACAGACTTCTGATAGAAAACAAAACTACTAACAAAAATAATCATCTTTTCATAGCAGCAAAACAGGAGAAACTATATATGTATATGTACATCTGTTTTCAAATAACAAGGCATAATATATATATTTATATAATACACTGTGTATATATTTTTTATTTCCCATTCTTTAAGTATTCTTCTTGATGTAATCTCTATAAAAATCAAAGTGTGAGTACACACACACACACACACACACACACACACACACACACACACACACACACACACACTCCTTCATTAGCACACAATGCACTAGAGGCAGAACCACAGAGGTTAGATCGGTTGGACTAACTGCATGGCCGCCATCTTGCCTCCACCAACAATAAAAGGCGTTTCCGCATAAATCCAACATGGCGGCCACAGAAAAAGTGCAAAGACCAAACTCTCGCAAGTCTAGAAATTTAAAGAATGAGAACAACAAAAAAAAAAGATGAGGCTTTTTTCTACACAACAACTTTCAGTATTGCAGCCGAGGTTTTTCCAGAGTTACGTGAAAACCAAACAAACAGAAAACACTGAGATGACTTCACTTTTTTCCTCACGCCTCGTTTACGCTCACACACACATGGACTTCAGTAACATCTCCCATAACAGCAAATAGAAAAATGAACGGTGTCCTCTACAGACACAAAAGCTCCAAAAAATAAATATCCAGTTTCTTTCTTCCTTTCTGCAACATAAGTCACTCTTAAGCTTTTCATGTGCAAGGTCTGTGCAAAGTCAGGAGGCTCGTCCTGGCTCGTCAAACATCAAAATAAGGATGATTTCCGCTGAAATCAACTCACATTCATTGACATTTTAACATTTTAGGTCACGAGATGGAATCAAAAGATTTAAGAATCACGGAGCAGCACGCGGCGTTTCTGAACATTCAGGTTTAAAAGGCTCAGGACGCTATGAACAAAAAACTGTTTCGGCACTAAAACAAACCCGAGTTGTCTTCAAGTACTTGCAGCCAGCGGTTTTCTGGTTCGAGTGAGACTTCGCTCAAGTCTGCTGCTTCTGTCCACGAGAGTGTCGAGAGGGATAAATGCTGTCTGTGCAAAAAAAAGAAAAAAAAAGAAAAAGGGAAGTAACTCACATGCTTCGTTAAAGCGTACTGACCCAGATTCGAGCACAAAGCTTCAGCTTAAAGACATGTTTTAAAGTCCCAAAATGAAAAATAAAAGAGACATGCGTTAGAAATCCATCCCTGACCTGCTGGGACAACAAGGAGAAGAGCCCGAGTCACACTTTGGTGTTCCACACATGCATATTGCTGTTGTTTCATGCATTCATTCCAAAACCTTCTTTCAAAATAACGTTTGTCCTTTAACTGAAGGTGTCTCGACTATTTATTGCGTTTGTGGTTACAGGGACGACCAAAACCTCACCCAAGGGGATCTAACTTTTGGGTTTAAGTATCGTTAAACTCAGCCTTTTCACTTCCTTGTTCCTCGGTTGCTTAATTCTTAATCCTCTCATTGTAGACTTGCAGCATCGTTTGTGGGGTCAACTCCTGAGGTTCTGAAACCAAAACCAGGCCGACTTCTCGAGTCACAACTCACAATCAACCCAAACATGGCGACGTTTGCCAATATCTGGCCCAAACGGACCCCCCTCTAGGCGCTCGCAGCTTAAACCGAGCCGGCGGCCTTCACCGGCCCACATTTGGTGATCTGTCGACATTCGCAGCCCGACTCAGACCGGGTTAAGTTGAAAAGTGAATTTTCAAACCCGTATTAAAAACTTCTGCTTCACAAAAACTATTTTGATATCTGAGAAATACTCTATTAGTTGCTCAATCTTTCCAGATTACAAATTTTGGCCCATTGTTGCAAAAAAAAAAAAAAAAAAAAAAAAAAAAAAAAAAAAAAAGGTACAATCCAAAACTGGGCCCAGTAGCTCCACCCTGCTGGAATCCTCCAAAGACAAATGAAAGGCGGCTCAACCTCCTGAACGCGACACACTTTTCCAACAGCGACTCGGCCGATGTGCCGTTTAGGACGAACGTCGTCCCAACAGCATCGTCAAAAAGCAAAACAAGTTTGGTTTGTGTCCTCTCTGCTTCGCCCGACATGCAGCATCTAGTTAGGATTCATCAAAACAAACAAACGTCTTTCTGAATCACCAATCAAACTATATTTGGGATTTTAATGCCCCCATTTTCTGCAGAGATTGCAACTAGCTCTTTTTGAGAGTTTCACCCGATGCACATCTCAGCAGATCATATGATGTCACGTCATGCAATACAGATTAAAGTTTTGAGCACTCCTGCCAGGTGGAAGAGGGCCAAAGTCAAATATTTACAATCAGCTTGGGGCACAGACATTTCCCCGGGTTCCTCCAAAAGTCTTTGAGTCTTAAAGCCACTGCAGCGGCGAGCGGTAAAAGTCCCGCAGAGCTGAGCTCGTTGGTTGTTTTGGTGAGGTGAGCACAGCAGCTCAGCTGGAGACAAACGCGTCCATCAGCTTCAGCGTGAAGAAGAAAAGGTTCATCAAGTCAACTCCAGGGTGAGGAAGAACGATTTTCAGCTTGTTTAAATGATTGTAGCTTGAAGGATTAATGTTCATCAGCAGTGTTTGTAATTCAGGTGTTCATGTGATTGACCCAGATGAGGTGTGAGTATGTGTGTGTGTGTGTGGGGGTGTGTACCAAAGTCCCCTGAAGTTTTAATCTCCATGCAGCTGCGCAGAAGCCCTGAGAGACCCTTATGATTTTTAGAATGCGTGACCCCTTCCTGGCGGATTGATCAACTGTCCATGAGGGCTAGGAGAAGGAAGAGCTTTGAGCTCTCGGCTCAAAGAAAGCTCTACGACCAGCGTGATTTTTGTTGGATGAGTTGGTGTGGTCAGATCCGTTGTTTCTGCAGCAACTCAGAGACCCGATCACAGAGCGGACTCGTTCTCCAGTTGACAGGAAGTGCTTGTGGCTGTCTTGCCCTCCTTGGTGATCTTCAGGAAGCTTGGTTTTTCAATCGCCACGGTAACAGCGCCTTCGGTGCTGTTGAGACTTTCTAGTGTCGTCAAGGCCTGTTTCTCTGAAGCTTTGGTGGAGTCCCCATCTCTGTCAATCAAAGGGGCAATCAGTTAGGACCTGGACATTCTCTAGTATGCCCTGACCAGACACCCTAAACTGATTGCTAGTCCACCTACAAACCAGTTACAGTCCTCGGTACACCATCTAACGGGATAGTTTCAGGAAATAGTCTAAAACACCCTCCTTCTAGAAGCTCACAGTGAGCTGCTAGTTTGAGGGAGCTAAAGGAGACTACAAAATCACGGACTGATGGTGACCTGGCTTTGTTGCTACTGGACTTGTAAGTAAGAACACTTTTTGCCCAACAGTGTATCTTTTTACTTTGTGGCTTATTTCATTACTATATTGGGGCTCGCGTTAGCTTGTTAGCATTAGCTACTGCAGGTTGCGTCAGGGTTGTTTATGACAGCTGTAATTCAGATTTCAACCAGTGGGAGGGAGAAGAGGGAAGCTTTTTTAGAGTTGCTTTAACTGAAATATCCAGAACACAGACGGTTGTTGCTCACTAGAGGTCAATGTCCTCCACATTTTGTTGTTTCTCCGCTTCAACACACACTTTAACAATAATCACAGATGTCGATGACGTAATTCACTCGCCGAGTGTGGTGTTTCGATGCAGGGAAGCAACCGTAACAGCAGACCTGCACTAAAATCTAAAAACAGGTGGTCTTCTCACCCGTTGTTTGGACTGGGATAAATGACCAGGAAGCAGGCGGTGAAGAATCCAAGAAGAGAGCCCCCAGAGGCCACAATGGGAATGACACGAACGGTGCCAACAGCTTCCACTACAGCGCCCAGAGCTGAGGCCACCAGTATCTGACTGATGTACACCTGCAAACACACAATCAGTCATGACGTTACACGTGCATGTTCTTACCCCGGTTGTTCACCGGGTACGTAATCGTCAAGTAACACCTGTGATGCGCAACACGCAGCTATTAGAGGTTGTTACAGTGAACTGGTTAGAACCCCCTGTTCTATTTTTTTAGCACTTCGCTTCCTGAACACATGTAGCTAAAATAAAAAACACGTATATTTCCTATTGCTTACCTGTCACACCTCCCTGGCTGGGGTAAAAGAACAGGAAATAAACTGTAGACCTTTTGGATAAACAATGCAATTTTTCTTCTTGCCTTTTATCATGTGAACTGGCAAAATCACGCGTGATCTTGCAGTTCTCGTGTGATCTCGTGAGACCAGCTGCATGGAATAAACTCGCACCTGCCTCGTGTCTAAAACCGTCTCGATGCAAAGGAACATTTCTTACGTTACGCATTCTGTGGAAAGCCTGGGTTAATCTCTGAAACTACAGGAATAAGAATTGAGTCAAATCTAATTTGGTCACACTAAGCCCGAATAAAATAGTTAAGAAGAAGCCTGGATTATTACTAATATAATATACAAGAGGAGTAATCTGGATGTTTGCCGTTTAATTGTACTGTCTAATCACCTAGACACCAACCTGGCAGGATAAGATGGCACAGTCGATGCCGAAGCCTCTGCGGGAGTTACCAGGGCTGTGTTGGATGTACTGCAGGAGGGAGAGAAGGTGACATTTATCTCGTGACATTTATCTTCATCTGCAATCTGGAAGCAGGTAAGCAAATTAAAGCGAGTTTATTCAGTTTAAAACCGATTCTGCACCTCTTTCATTTCGTGATATTGTCCGAGCAGAGCATAGGGACAGTAGGAGATGCTCATCGAGATGACACCCATGCTGCTGATCATCACCATGGCGACGTACACATTAGGGAAGATGGCCATAACAGCAGTTCCTGTGGAGAGAAAAAAAAACGGAAACTTTAGTAATAAACCCCCTAAGAAGCCCTGGTATTGCCGCTCGCTGCTCTTACCTATCGCGAAGCCCAGCGTTCCCAGGATGTAGATGACCTTGATGCTGAGGTCAAAGTTATCAAGGTATTTCTGAAGAATAGCTGGGGAAAAAAACAAGATTAGTTGATGGTTGATCGTTCATCCAGACTGAAATCTGGGTTTAACTTATATAAATAAATTACCAGAGCATGTAGCAGCAGTCATGGCATAAATCACCAATCCCCAGCATCCCATTTGAACCCCTTTGTGATAATTGTCCAATGATGTTGAGTTCGTAATCGCCTGCCAAAGAGAAAGGTCTAGTTTGACAAGAGCATCAAACACATCTGCACATCTAAACAGGATAAGTGTATTGCTGTAGTTCCGTACGGTAGGATCTCCAAGGTAGATGACTTGTCCCATGAAGTCGGTGAAGAAGACGGCTTGTGCGATGATGGAGAACCAGGTGAGCAGGTGGCAGGCACACAGACGCAGCAGCTCCGGAGGCATTTTCAGCATGGAGAGCCACAGCAGACGGACGGTGGTCTCAACCTGAACGGACTCATTTGGTATCACCAAAAACAAGCATGGGGACATGAGGGTGGCTAAAGCTAGGACGCGCGCCCTCACCTCGCCCTCCTCGCTCTCCGTGTCACCGCTGGAGGAGTTTGTGTTCTCACTGCGGTGCCGCTTCCTCTGCCTGTTCCTCCTCTTGTGTCGGGCCTCCACTTCATACAGGTCGTTCATGCTGCGAGACGGCTTGATGAGGAAGGCGGCGTTGGCTCGGCGGTAGCGGTAACGATGGCTTCCTACGCGCCCGTAGTAGGAGAAGGTGCAGGACGGCTGGCGGTAGAAGGTGTGCCAATGGCGAGATTGACGCATGGGAGCGCCGGTGCTAGCAGCTGAATGAATGATAGGAAACATCTAAATAAGGACGAGGTTAAATATAATGGAACAGTTGGCAGGTTAGGGATACACCGGTTCTGACTGGTGACAGGAATCTTTACATTTTCAGCTTTTCTGTTAAATTACTTACAAGAAGATTCAAAATGACGAGGCAGCCATTCCAGCTGCTAAAGCAAATTAATAAAGTAGTTTTCTCGTATTTGTCAACAACACGTTTGGGACCAAAAGCAACTATTGGACCATCCGGTTGTCTGTCTTGCCGAACTGCCACGCTTCCGCAACTCCCTGGGTCCTCCACTCATTACACACTCGCATATTAGCAACAGAACTCCACTGGCGTGAGAGGTACTCCGCTCAATAATATCAGAGAAGGAGAAACAGTGGGCTGCTACCACTTCGACTTTAGGACAAACTACCCAAAAAGAAAACATATTTGAAATCACGGACAACAAAACACGTGGATGTAGAGAACGTCGACTGGTGTTCAGCATTATCTCGTTTCCTCCACCCATGCAGGTTTCCGGTTCCGGCAGAAGCTTCTCAGGGAAGATTCTGAGAACTGCTAAATTTACTGCACTTTTTTGTGTTGCAATTCAAACTCCGGTAGGTGGCAGCGATCACCATTGTCATTGTAACAGAACAACGCGATCTCGCGACAACACTAGATGTGTCTTGGAAGCCTGACATTTCCAATAAAATTCAGTCTTCAAAATTGTAATATCATTTGGCTTTTATATCGTATCGTCTCCCCATATTACGATATAGATCGTATCGTCTCCCCGTATTACGATATAGATCCGTATCGTCTCCCTGTATTACGATACATATCGTATCGTCTCCCTGTATTACGATATAGATCGTATCGTCTCCCCATATTACGATATATATCGTATTGTCTCCCCGTATTACAATATAGATCATATTGTCTCCCCGTATTACGATATAGATCGTATCGTCTCCCTGTATTACGATACATATCGTATCGTCTCCCTGTATTACGATACATATCGTATCGTCTCCCTGTATTACGATACATATCGTATCGTCTCCCTGTATTACGATATATATCGTATCGTCTCCCTGTATTACGATACATATCGTATCGTCTCCTTGTATTACGATATATATCGTATCCCTGTATTACGATATATATCGTATTGTCTCTCCTATATTGCAATAGATACTGTATCGTCCTGGCATGGTAAGCCATCATATATGTGAATATTTAGTCTGGCCATGACCCACTGATGGCTCTCTATCGTTGGGCAGATCTGTGGTCGTCTCTCAAACGGTCTCCCCACGACATTCGACAAAAAATGTGACGTCGGTCAACCCCCCTACATGTCAAAGAAGATGCAAATACATCCTTTTTTCTAAATAAAGAACTCACCTCTGTCTGTTCTTGGCTCAAAGAAAAGCCCAACTTTCTAAAGTTGATGCCAAAGCTGTTTCAAACTAGCTGTCCCCATCTTAGTTTCGCTCAGTCGCATCATCCCACCCACAAAACGGACAGAGTACTGTGATTGGCTAGCCACCAGACTGGCCGGAGCTGCTGAGGCTCCGATCGGCAGGCAAAGCACAATAATTTTGCTTCGGCAACAGACGGTCTAGATTTGTAGGCTAGTATGGTCCCCCTGTGTTGTGACGTGTATAGCATGACCAGATTTCTGCCAATAAGCACCACTACTGTTCATAGTTAATCGACTTCACTGGACTCTTTAAATGCGTTTGCCTTTGTGTCTGACCGCCTGCTACTGACCTTGACAGTAGTACCTCACAATAAAATTAAGAAGAAAGCATGAATCGGTGCATCTCCATTATAGCCTGAAGACTGACCTTTTACCATCCCAGCCCGATGCGCCCGTCCTTTAGAGCTCAGCCTGTCGGAGCTTCCTCTGTCGGCATTGGTCACGCTGGCTAACAGGCGACCGTTCAGAGTGCGCTGCTCACTGAGTTGGTTGTTCAGCAGCGCCTCCTGTCCATCATCATTCTCCATTTCCTGTAAGAATGCTGAGAGGCGGGAAATCCTGGGAGTGGGATTGTGTGTTTGATGGCTGGTGTTGTTGGGGCGGAGTAAGTCTTCACTTCCTGTGCTGCTGCTGCGCCTGATGCTGGCGAGGTGCGGACGGGAGCTGCTGTGATGCGGGTTGAAGAAGGATCCGGTCCTGGAGGGTGAGCCGTGATAGGGCGAGAGGTTCTCAGCGAAGATGGACGGCTCTAGGTGGCACAAGAACAAGGCGTCGTGGTCCATGTGGTCCAGAGTTGCGTCCGCCATGGCGAGAACGCTGTCACTCTTACCTGGAGAGAAGATTAGAGGAGTTTAGATCAGAAAGAAATTAGAAATTAAATGAAGTTGCAGTTGACCTGATATAAGCTTACTTCTCACAAGCTCCACCTCCAGGAAGTCCATGTCCATGTCTCCTTGCTCTGAATGTCCATCTCCATATGAATCATAGAGGTCATAAGTTTCTATGGTATCATCCTCTCCAATCATTTCCAGTCTGGGGGCTAGAAGCCCAGCCCGGCCGTTGGCTGATGGCTGCAGGTGGCTCGGATTAGGACTCTCCTAGAGTGAGAGGATTGAGCTCACTGACCCACAACAGATTATGTTTTTAAACACATAACTTCATACGGGTAGAGGAGCTCGTTACCTGGTCCAGCCTGTCGGCTTGTGTAGAATATTGCTGTTCCTCTATGCTGAGGAGATGAAGCACCACAGAGATGGAGAAAAGGATGGCAGCAAAGATGAACAAGATCTGCTCCTGGGACTTGAAGATCGCTCCAAGAAAGGTGTGTGTCCAGTCCAAACCACCAAGAGCATAGCCGACTGCACCTCCGAGGCCTGAAAGCACACAGAGGTTAAGGTTTAGGACAGATGAGAGTAAACCACGGTGAAGCGTTGGCGTCAGCCGCACCTGCAGACGCAGCGTGGATATTGAGTGCCATGTCTTGTTCTTCTGTGTCCGCTACGTCCAGGAGGTACGCTCTGATCGGTCCCTCTGAGGCATCTGCACAGAAGTCCAGCACTACAACACCCAGCACGGTAAGGACGATTCCTATTGGTTGTCTCCCTTGCTCGTCACCTAGAGACAAACCTGACGGAGGAAAAGAAGGAAGAACGTCAGAAACGCTTTTATTTTATTATGAGGATGGAGGACATCTCGGACATTTTTATTGGTTTGTTTATGTTGATGTTACCCATGTTGTAGTAAATGTGATCGATAAGTTATTTGTGACTATGTAAGCGCTGCCCAGCAACGGGTCACTGCACATTACCCACAATGCTTAGCTGTTTGAAAGTGACCCTGTATGTCTCTTTTGACCCCGCCTTAAATGTTAGGAGATGCTGCATGGATGTGTGTGAACACCTCAGAGTGCAGTAGGATGTGTTTACTATAGGGGTGTGTGTGTGTGTGTGTGTGTGTGTGTGTGTGTGTGTGAGAGAGATATATCAGAGGCAGTGTGATGCAGCATGACTTCACAAACTGAAGTTCATAAACGTGGGAGAGAAAAAAGTGTTCTTAGAAAGAAAACAGTGTGTGTGCGTGTGTGTGTGTTGGTGGTGGTGGTGGTGGTGGTGGTGGTGGTGGTGGGGGGGGGGGGGGGGGGGGGTTGATGGAGTCATAGTACTCATTAGCCAGGCACACAGACAGGAAGTGACCTGGGATTGGTAGAGAGAGGGAGCAAACAGGAACCATTTCCCTGTGAACTGCCTGTTCGAGTGTTCCCATGTCAACACACACACACACACACACACACACACACACACACACACACACACACACAGTGCTGTTCGCACACATTTATTTACAACCACTGAAACGCACAAATCTCTTTGTTTGTCATGTCGATATTGCTAACCACACACACACACACACACACACACACACACACACACACACACACACACACACACACACACACACACACACACACACACACACACACACACACACACAGGTGACCTATTTTGACCAGACTCCAGAAAGACGGAACAGAAATAACTTCAAAAGAATAAAATCTGCCGACAAGTAGATTCACTCACTCATACTTTACCACAATTTATTTTTTTAGCGGCATTTAAAAACCCGGAAAGGTCTTTTTGTTCTAATCTAAGCTGTAATCTGGTAGAAAACGCTTAGACATCTAAACAAATGCAAAAGTTACAAAAACGTCAGCCTATTCTTTTTGACGTCATTTTTCATTTTTATTTCTCATGACTGATAAATAAATGGACGAGTGAATAAAACAAGTTTAGTACAGATTATGATCAGATTTGACCTAATCTATGTTTAAGTTTTAGATTTAGTTTATTTCCTCTTTATTTCTTCATTCTCAGGTTGCTGACTCTATTGCTTTGGATTCGTGCACCTTTAGTTTTACTGGTTGAACATCTCCCTGTGCTGGACGCACCTCTGAACACTTACAGCATCATTTGAACTTGAATAGTTTGCCTCACACTTACTTATGTAAACATTTCTGAAATGTTTGCGTGATCTGCAATGATATTTATGACATTTATGTTGTTTTATAACAACAGAAACACTTTCTAACCTCTTCCATTCTGACTAGCCTGGCAACCCAGAGCTCATCTCTTCCTTTTTTTAAACGGAGGTTGTTCAAAGAGCTTTCTGTCTGGTAAAAAAAAATCCTTCTATCTGCAAAAATGAAACTTTTCAGGAAATTGGGTTAAAAATCTTTACTGTACAATACGTTTTTTTCTTCTTTTTGCTTAATTTAGCAACTTTTGCCTTTTTTCTTGTGATTTTTTCAAACTTATTTATTGTTTTTAGTCTCTGTGTTTAGCACTCTGGTCAGTGTCGGCTGGTTTTAAGGTGCTTGACATCAATTGATCAAATATCCAGAGCTAATTTGAACGCACTCACCTATCAGAGACCCGTTCAGGAACAGCGCCACCCCGATCAGCGTCCCGATGCAGAGAGCCAGGATGAAGGGCCTCCTCCTGCCCCAGCGCAGAGTGCAGCGGTCGCTGGCCGAGCCAATCAGAGGGGTGAACATGAGACCGAGTACCGGACTGAGGAACCACGTCAGACTGTAGTACTGCTCTGGAAGACCTGCACAGGGCAGAAACACTCAGCTGAGGACAGGTAAAGAAAAGATTTGTTCTCCCCGTTTTCACCAGCAGGGGGCAGAAGAAGCACCCTAACCCCTGGAGAAAGTTATATTTATTCATAGAAATAGTAAAAAAAAAAACAACTTACATTTAAACATCAAAGAGGAAAAAACGACCAACAGCTCTTTATTCAATAAAGAACTACATGTTCTTTTAATGCATTCAGCTACAGCAGCTTTAATCCACATGACCATAAATCAAACTAGAAACAAAAATTTATTTAATGACACACAACACCGAGTTCTGCCATCGTGATAATAACGGACAGATGCCGCTCTGCTGGTAACATTTACAGCTGGCTGGGCAACGCAAACTGTATTTGTGCCCTGCTGACCCTCTGCTCATGCACGAGTGACGATGAAACCAGGATTTGCTCGTGTGCACAACTACACCAAACTCCTGCAAACAACGAAACACATCTGCGTTGCTTCCAACTGTAGACTCGCTGTCATATTTGAACCATTTTAGCCAGCTAATAAAGAGAAAACATGAGTATTCATGTTCTTGAAAAAACTGGCAGGAACTTAAAGTGACAGTGTGTATTTTTCCTGGTGATGGGAGGCAGTAGATACCTAAATTGTTGCAAGCGAGCAGTATTTTTGTGTTGGAGTAATGAGCTCGACACACGGGAGGCAACATCGCCTCTCTTCCATTCATTTTCAATGAGACATGCGTGACAAAGAGATAATCGCGGGTCTCTCTCCTACTAAACGAAACGCGAAAAATGTGCGTGCGAAATTTTGCGCTCGTGCACATGTCGTGCACGGACAACCCAGCGACACGATCCCAGAAAGTTTAAACATTTTCAACTTTTCATCGCTGTCGCTCGGACGAGGACCAATCAACGGAGGTTTCATTCACTGACCAATGAGCGGACAGGATGCTCCGCACATCTCCGAGCAAATATGGAGGAGAAGTTGATTATTATTATGTTTTAAATAGTAAAATCAGAAGTAAGATTTCACATAACTCTAGCAGCACCTTGTGAAACATCATATCTACCGCTTTATTAACTCTGAACTGCTTAAATAACCTTAATTCCCTCCAACCTGACACAGCCAAGCAAAACAACGGAAGTTTCAATTTCGCCATGGAACAGAACGCGTAGACGGCTTTGCCGCTGCCGCGGGTCGCCTCCCGTGTGTCAGGTAATAAAAGCGACAGCGACAAATTTCGCTGATCGCGGTCGTTTGTCGCCTCCCGTGTGTCGAGCCCATAAGACCTTACCAAAGGATGCCCATTAGGGTCAAAAAGCTCTAGGGAGTGCAAACTTTATCAGAATAACAAGCACACCAGACTCCCTTTCATCCCTGGCAACATGTGAAGAGGTAAATGTGTAAAACAACATTTAAGAATGACGAAAGTTTTGTAACTGCTTGTTACAAAACAGTAAATGCATTTTGTGCTCATGGGCTCCCGTAGAAGGAAACATGGTATCTAGTATGGCGTCGCCCAGAGACTTAGACCTGCTGCCATGCATTCTAGACCTGATTTTTATGGTTATTTGTTACAAAGCTGCCAATGTTTTTCAACAACTGACCTTCATTTAATTCAACATTTTGATGGAAGTTTCCAGAAATTAATGGTAAAGTTTACACATCGTCCCTTTAAACAATCCGACTTGTGTCGTGCATCTGATCCCGTCAGCGAGCTCTTATTGAATATTTCACGTGGCCAAACTTTCCATCGTCGCAACGCAGGCGAAGCTTTCGTGCCTGGCTCTCAAATAAGGATGTTTTAGAGGAAATGACTTTGGTAAACAGCAAACTGCTGAGAAGACACACATGCTTTCAATACCTGTGAATTACACTCCTACACAGAGCACACCTGTCCCCGACCGAGCTGTTGTCACTCGTTATGTAGAAGCGGTGACAGCTCGAACTGTCGATGATTTATGAGCGTTAGCTGCCAAGTTTTTGAGTTAAAATAAATGCTGCAGGGTTTGTTTGAGCAACATATTACATTAGCGTTTGATGTGTGGAACATGAAGCTCAGAAAGATATACCCACCAGTCTAAAAGTCTAGATTTACTTTCTTTAATGGCACTAGGCTCGACGAACACACCCACACGCACCACCGCTGAGCTGATAAATAATGGAAGAGGAATAAATCTAATTCAATCCAAACTTTGACAAATTCTCAATGCAGCTAGTTGAAAATGTGTTGCAGCGGACATGCAGTCCCTTTTATTAACGGACACCAAAAATATCTATGTAAGACACCTCGATGCAGACAACAGGATTTCTTTTGGGGTTTGACAGAAATTACGAGAAAAAGACGTTCTGTTCAAATTTTTACAGGTTTAGTTGAACATCCTGAGGCCAACGGCATCAAAACAGTGATGACAAACATCACACCTATCCTTCAACAAGTATATTATCTGCACGGCTCTTGCCATTCTGAGAATTCCCTCTATAAACCTAGAAATTCACAAAAAACACGAAACTCGCCGATCACAGCAGGCAGGCTAAACTAACAGGATACATTCAGAACCCTTATTTTTAACGTTTCGTCTCACTGATGCAAAGAAATGTGCTGAGCCCCCGAGAGGACAGAAGAAAACTAAATCAGATTTAGAGTTCATGTTGCAAGATCCCAAACTGTCTTTTGTAAAATTCCAACTTTCTTTAGCAAAATCTCATCTGTGTTGGGAGAACTTGAGTTTGGTTTTCCCGAGATCCCGACTATGGTTTTCTCAGACCCTGCTTTTGGTTTTCAGAGATCCCGACTTTGATTTGCGAGAGACTGAGTTTGTTTTGCAGGGTCCCAACTTTTGTTTGCTAAGGAACCAACTGAGGTGATCATGGATATCGTGACGTTCTTCTCACAAATGAACAAGTCGCTTGAATGAAGTCTCGTTGTTTTAGTGAATTTCAAAATTTACAGAATACCTGGACAGTTTAATGTGTTGTCAGTTGGCTGCCATGACAACGGAGGTTTGTGCGAACGTGCGAGTGTGGAGAGAACAGTGGACTTCATTAAACCATATTCAGCGTTGCTTTCTAGATTTTTAGAATATTTACTAAGACATCACAATAGAACTAAAGACACATTATTGTGTATGTGTGTGTGTGTGCGTGCGTGTGTATGTGTGCGTGTGTGTGTGTGTGCTCTGTCTTCTTGATCCCCAGTGAGTCGTGGAGGATGGCTGCTTATACTGAGCCAGGATCCTCTGGAGGTTTCTTCCTGTTAAAAGGGAGTTTTCCTCTCCACTGTCGCTGCATGCTTGCTTAGTATGAGGACTGCTGTATAGTCACTGACACTAGTCAGTGACTTGATGCAATTTGCTGGGTTCCTTATATAGGACACATTATTTCTGATTGGCTTAATGAACTGTGAATTGGAATGTTTATTATGTGAAGTGCCTTGAGACGACTCATGTCGTGATTCGGCGCTATATAAATAAACTTGAATTGAATTGAATTTCTTTGTGTGAAATTCCATAAAACAACTAGAATTGATGCAAGTGACTCATTTGTGAGAAGAATGTCACAACCACTGTTGATCAGTTCAGAACAGCTTAGAAAAACGAGCCCTAACCCTCCAGCTGGTGGGATTCCCAACTAGACCCACGGAGAGCCGGTGATGAATAAACTAAATCACACTGAGGGGACGCATTCGCCCTCATCTCAGATCATAAAGACCATGTTCTTATTGTTCTGAGCAAATGTCGACCTCTGCCTTTCTCTTCAGCGTCCACAAACTGGGCTTAACCTCTGCCGCCATGGTGACCAGGTCTTGGGAACTCTGTCACCACAGAGTCTCCATCACCTTTCGCTTCCTGGCTCCTAATATGGACGTGTCATTCACAACGTACTTCCTGTCAGGGCGCTTTTTCAGACAGTGTGTCTGTGTGTTTTTACACTACTTCCAGCCAGTTCGGTCTCTTTTATGAATACACTTCTAAATACACACAAACTCTCTCACACGCGCACGCACACGCACACGCACACACACACACACACACACACACACACACACACACACACACACACACAGACAAAAGGGTGGTGTGGTGCTGCCATAAAGCAGGAGACAAGGCAGCAGATAGGAATCGGTCTGTCTGTACGTTTGTCAACATCAAAACAGGAAAACCATTTCTGGTAAACAGCCCTTTGCCGTAACACACACACACACACACACACACACACACACACATCCAAACACACACACACACACATCCAAAAACACACACGCAAAATGTAGTAAATGCATGTCTGTTCCCATAGACTTCTAAAAACACCATTCCCACACACTCCAATTACTGTATGTGTGCATAAACACACACACACACACACAAACACACACACACACACACACACACACACACACACACACACACACACACACACAAACACACACACAAACACACACACAAACACACACACACACACACACACACACACACACACACACACACACACACACACACACACACACACACACACACACACACACACACACACACACACACACACACACACACACACACACACACACACACACACACACACACACACACACACACACACACACACACACACACACACACACACACACACACAGAACAATACTGAGAGAATCCGAGCTCAGGAAGTATTTTAAAAAGAAAAAAAGAGTGAGTGATGTGAAGGAGAGAAGGAGTGTGAGAAAGAATTAACATCAAAGGAGGACAGAAAAAGAGTGAGGAGGGGAAAAATGGAGGACAGAGATGGAGACGCTGGAAGAAAAGGTTTGGCTTCATGCTGTCAAACTGCTGCTGACTGACCCTGGGGGGGGGGGGGGGGGGGGGGGGGGGGGGGGACAGCTCCATCCATCACCAAGCCATTTTTGTAATACACAATTATGAAAGTTTCTTCATGCAGACAAAAAAAAAAACCTCAGAAAAAAATATACAAATTATAGATTTTGTGTATTTTCTTTTACATTTTAAAAATATTT